TGGTCCACACCGTCTTGGCTCGGGTGTGAACGTGGTTCAGCCTGGGCTGACTGACCACCCCGTGGCTGTGCGGGCTGCCGCCGAGTGCTCAACCTTTCTGAGCCTTGGTTCCTCGTCTAGTACGTGGAGGTAGGCGAGGTGGGACAGCTGCTGCCACTTACCTGCAAGGACTGTCGTGGGCATTAGCCACAGCAGAAGGGCCACCCTAAGCTGGCTGTATAGGTTTCAGTATATTGTAGCTAGTGTTACTTCTCACTTCCTGGTGCCCAGGAGAGCCAAAGAATCTGTGGCACATGTGTGTTTGTGCTTCAGATGCCACTTAGTTTCTACACGTCCCCCCAGCAAACTAAACTCCTGGAGGGCAGTCAATATCAAGGAAGAGATGCCATCGATGGGGCTTGATGTCAAGTGCATTGTGTCTCCAACGCTCGGCGACTCCAAAGCCAGCGTCACCATCACCTGCATGTCTCTGTGAACAGCTGGGCTGCCAGTGGTTCCGGAGAGCACAGGGAAGGATGAGGCACATGCTGGGGTGGGCCCTCTAGCCCCAAAGCTCGTGCTTTCATGTCCCATCACTCTTTGGCCTCTCTGGGGCTCCTCACCTCAGTTCCCATGAACCCTGCTGCATTCAGAACTGGCCTTCAGGCAGGTGGCTGCAAGCGAAACCTGCAGGGCCGTGGGCCCGAGGACCAGGAGGACGAGCCTCTGGCTTGACATTTCCAGAAATAGGGGCTGGGCCCCCTTCAGCAGCAGCCAAGATTCAAAAGGCAGAGAAGGAATCATTGGCCTCTCAGTAGTATCTTAAGTTGGGTGGAAAATAAACCTGCTGAAGAGCTGCCTCCGTTACCCGGGACCCGTGCCAGGGGGAGAGGGGCTCTTCTAGGGTCCATCCCAACCCCCCCCCCCAACAACCTTGCTGATCACAGGAAGACCAAGGAAATTGATCTCTCACCGGGGGAGGGACAGAGGCACCGGGACAATAAGATACACGGAGCTGAGCTAAGAGAAGGGAAGGACCACAGAGAAACATTTTGCTTGGGAACCTGAAACAGCAGAGGGGCAGGTGGGGAGCAGAGGAACAAGACGCGGCCAGGGGGCCCTTCCTAGCTGCCCCATCACGACCATGACCATGACCATGACCACCACCAGATGCTTCCTCTCCCCACCTCCAGCTACCAAGAGCCAATGTAAAGATTCTTTTTCAAAAACATCTTTCATCTTTGCTTAGCTGTAGTGTTTACTTAAGGATAAGATGACCCAACTTCAACTATATTTAGCACATGAAAATCTACAGGTGTTTGACTCCAGGAACCACTTCAGGTTTTGGTATTAGTTTCCAGAGTGCCCTCCCTTCTGGGTCTCATTGTCCCCAGGCATGTGGGAGCTGGGCCCTCCTGAGCTCCCTGCCCCGCCCTCTAGCTTGCAGGGAGTTAAACACCCCTCTAATACCCCTAACTCCTTGCCTAAGGAGAAAAGAAACGTTTTCATTTCTATTCTAATTTAAAATTTCATGCCAGCTACTATCCAAGACAGGCACCCTATTTTAGCTTTGTCAGTTGGCTTGACTTTTGTTTTTAACTAATCAGTCCTTCTGCTCCAACTAACCATGGACCTTGGAGACGTACCTGCTTCCCTTCAAAGCCTCCTGTTGGAAGGTGGGATGCTTGTTCTCATGTGCCTCTTCCAAGATGCTGTCCTGAAAAATACACGTTGGAAGCAGAACGGCATATCTTACAGGGGCTAAAGGCTTGAGCCCGGAAGGCAGACACCCCACAGCCCGGCCCTGGCTCTGCAGGGTAGGTGACATTTTAGTTTCCCCTGTAAACTTCATCGTCCCATCTGCGAGCACAGGACCTGGCGCTCCGTGATTGCCCCTGCACATGTTAGCGAGCCTGCAGTAGGTCCCCCCGCCAACCTGATTCACAAAGGGAGGGTTGTCTGAGAAAAGCCACCGGCCTGTCCAAAGGATCCCTTTCCTGTGTAAGTGGAAGCGGATCTCTCACCGGGGAACTCAACACCTCTTTGGCCCTTGAGAGGGGACTGGTATAACAATTAACATCTGCACAGTGATTTGCCCTTTGCAGACTGCCTTCAAGGCTTACAGCAGTGGGAAGAACGGGGCCATGGAGTCAGGTCTTCAAGCACAGGACAGGAACCTTGGGCAGCTCCTTGTCTGTCAATGGGAGCAGTGCTCCCCGCTCCCAGGTTCCTGAGGTCCACGAGCTAACATTTTTGTAACATGTACTTGGTAAACCCTAACGCCGAATGTGAGTGTCACTCAGTTTTCTCATGATTTTAGGTTCCAACGGACTCCCAGAGTAGAGGCTCACACGCCACCCATACTGAATGGATTTAAATGGTTTGGAAGAGTCAGAGCAAAGCGGCTGCTTGGGTGTCACTGTCTCTCTCCCTCACACACACCCCAGCCCCAGAATTCTCCCTCCCTGGGGAGCAAGTGCCTCTGCTTCTCCTGTTGTCTCTGGGACTACTTTTGAGAAATGTCCTACAGTAAAAAGCAGCCTGAGTGGTGACTCGCTTGGATGAAAAAGCCCCAGAGGGGACAGACCCGTGTTGCGACAGTGGCTGGAACAAGTGGGCCAGATGGCCTTGACCTTGGCAAGGAATCACCTACCTAGGCATGGACCCAAGCCTCCTGAGGGGCCCAGCCTCTTTGGCAGCACTCACAGAAATCTGCTCAAGAGAGGGATGTCAGTCAAGCAGCCAGGAGACCTGTGATTCATCTGCTAGGCCAGCACATGCTTCTAGATAGCATTTACCCCCAGAACAGGGACACAGCCTGTGGCACAGAAGAAAGCATGGGGCCTGGAGACAAGAAACTCACCTTGGGCCTAGCTCTGTGGTGTTGTTTGGGACAGGAGTGTGTCCACCTCACCAAATCTCCCCTGGCTTTTGGGCAGGGGCAGGTGCTGGACCAAACAGTCTCCACGGTGCCACCTAGCCCCTTACCATGCCCCAGACAGGACTCCACCCCTGCCTTGCCTTTCGATTCTATTTGCCTTAAGATACACAGAAAGAACTTCCAAAGAATGAAGTTGCACCCCAAGGTAAGGTCGTAGAGGGTGTGTCACACTGCAGCTTTGGCCTCGGGTTCTCCCAAAGGGTGTTTGGTAAACACTCTCGAGTCCCATTAATGCTTTCAGCACCTTCTAACAGATATTGAACCCAAATTACAGCTGAGTATGTCACTACGAGGACAATGAAAGGGAAGAAGATTCCCCACTCATCAGAAAACCATACTCCCGGGATCTTGCGTGTACATGGTGGCAACGGAAACACCACTCCAGCGTGGAGTAATTAACACTTGGAGGCCACACAGGGAAAGTTCTACTGAGATGCCAGATGGGTAGATCCGTGGGGGTGTTGGTGGGGGACAGGGAGTCAGGAAGGGCACAGCAGAGTGTGAAGATTGGGGCTAAGTACCAACCTCATTCAGGAGGTCAAGAGCTTGGGATCAATAGTGTGATAGGGGCCGGGACATGACTACTTACTGCAGGGAATGGAGCACCACCGCTTCCCACACAAGCTGCTCTGCGTGTCAATATTAGTCCGGTTGATGCCTGGGCTCCTGTGTTTTCTGGCACTAGAAGGAGGCATTACAACACATCCAGGTAAATATCCAGGACCCAGCCTCATCGCTGCTAGTGGCCCAGGGCCAAGTCCTCTGGGGATGAAAACACCAGGTTCAACATCTGAGGCAGCAGATCTCTGCCAGTTGTGTGGGAGGCAGTCAGGGGGAAATGAAACCTACAGGTGTCCACCAGCCCCGTGGAGTGACGCAACCTAGTCAGCTTGTGCACAGACGCAGTGGGCAGGGGAAACCCGAGGTGGGCCAGCTCCGCGGTGCTGTGACAGGCCCACTGCGTGCTGGGGTTGCATGGGAGGAGCAGAGGCCGGGAAGGACCGCCCAGGTAGGCTGGGGCTGGCCCTGCGGGGCTCCCCACGTCTCTAACTCTGACATGTGCCCTTACACAATAGGGTCTTCAGCAAGTTAAAATGTATGGGAGGAGCACAGGGACACCTGTTTTAGAAAGAGCCCTTGGTGGGAAGTGGGGGGCCCTGGGGGTGGGCTCCATGGGTTAAGCGTCTGCCTTCGGCTCAGGGCATGGTCCTGGGGTTCTGGGATTGAGTCCCGCATCGGGTTCTCTGCTCATCGGGGAGTCTGCCTCTCCCTCTGCCCGTCCCCGCTGCTTGTGCCATCTCTCAAATAAAATCTTTAGGGAAAAAAAAAAAGCCCTTGGGTGAATCAAGAAAAATGGAGAGGAGACAAGTGACAAGACTCAGGAAGTGGCCCGGGCAAGAGCTAAAGGCAGCACCGAAAAGGTAGAGGCCAATGGACGTTTCAGAGGAACACGCAGTGTAGATGAGGAGAGAATGATCCAGCAGTGGGCTCTGAGGCAAACCGAACTTGGAAACATCTCAATCCTAATTCTTGTGATGGTGGAAGGAGAGAAAAAGTCACTCCAACCTCCCTGAGTGGTTTCTAGATCCAGAGCCACTTCTCTACTTCCTTTAAAATACGAAGAAACCACGGTAGCGGTTGTACAGAGTTGTATATAGTATAGGTGAAGTTCCACTGGGGAAAATGGGTTCGGGACCAAGGTCAAGCTCGAGAGAGCTCAGGCTTTAACATCAAGTCAAACAGGATGCCGGTGAAGGCAGATCCCAGGACTATACCATCTGATGTAGGCATTAGCCGAGGGGCTAGTAATGAAGCTAATAATGCAGCTCAGTTTAAACTGATCAGGCACCTTGGAGAAGACCCCAAATATGAAGGGCATTGTGGCTAAGGGTAAGCACACACCTCTTCCCCCCCAGAGAAAGCACCAGCTCTCAGAGAAGTATCTAAGGCTGAGAATGTTAATAACTGACCCTCACCCCCCACGGCCATGCAACATATTCGCTGAAAGCTGAAGTAGGTTCGATCTGGAGGAGACACGAAGAAATGACCATAACAGACAAGGTTTTGGGTTTTTTTTTTAAATATATCTTTATTTCTCAAACTCAAAGCTTTATTTCATCAACTTCTAATACAGTTTGCATTGACAAGTGATTTCACCTTCATCACGTAAGAAGGTCAGTGGCCATCGCACCAAAGAGGAAACCTCAAATATCTTAGGCATCACTAAGAAATTAGAATTTCGAAGGCTATGCTTTGAAGAATAACAAAAAGTTTCCAATTCAGTCTAATGAGCATCTTGCTTTTCGTCTATATTAATTTGGAAATTACTGGATAAATTTTCCTAAAGCAGCTTTTTTTAATTTTTTTAATTCTTTGGGTGGCAGGGGGAGGCCAGATGGCTTGAGTTTTAAAACGCCCACATATCCATATTACTTAACGACTTCCTCTTTAGCGGATTGTCTTCTCACCTTCCTATACAAACACACATGACAATTTGTACCAACTCTCACCAGTCCAAGCAAACCTCCAAGCATTACCTTTAGCTTACACTTAAACTATTTTCGAAAAAGTGATAGGTAAACAAGATTTAGAACTCACCAAAAACAAAACAAAACAAAACAAAAAAACACATTTTCTTTCCTGATCCTCACCTTGGGGAGTCTCCACAAGTAATCCTGAAAAGTTGCCAGGTCTTTTAAAAGACATCCTCCCTACATTACCTCCCTTGGTCCTCTGCATGTAACTGGCTGAACTGGAACATGTTCCAAAATCAGCTGTGACATTCTGGTCTCTGCCAGATTAAGGATCTGAATCCAACCCCAGCAAACAGGAGTTGTTCACCTTACAGAATCCAGCAGAAGGGTCCTCCCTCACATAAAGTCCCAGTCTGATACCCAGGAAATAATGGTCCCCAGTGAGCTACGAGGTCCTCTGCCCACAGATGGATAACTATCAGTACATTTGAGCTCAGAATCGAGGTGCATCCTAAAATAAGGCACCAGTATCACAAAGTTAACTAGAAAAGAGGTATCCCTAAAGTTAGGAAGTTGCTCTTGAGTGGCACCATTTCTCAAAGTTAACAAAGCAGTGCTGGTTAAGATCCTAACCTACCATGAAGGTAAGGAGCTAGTGCTCGCAGGGAGGTGGAAGGAAAAGAAGTTTCAGGGCATTAGCGATTTGATTATTGTTATGTCACCACAAAACATGAGTTTACACAGAGCTCACAGTGACTCCAGTCCCCAGGGAAAAATCAAACCGGGGTGTGTGTGGTGGTGGGGGGGGGAACCTGACTACCAAACCACAACTGTTAGAACAAAGCGGGGCCCCAGCATCCTTCCTCCCTGACTCTCCCTAGTGGCCAGGTGCTCCCAGGTGTGGACCATGCCACAGCTCACAGTTAGCAGGAACCCTGATTTGAAGGTGTGAGTTGATAAAGAGTTTAGTTTCAGAGCTGAAGTTGAGTGAGGAATCGTGTCTTACTGCCAAAATAAAATTTAAGGGTGATACAAGCTCAAGGCCAGGAATTTAGGCTGTGCCTTTCTGCCCACGCAAGGGGAAACGGTACTGTTTTAATCGCACTGCTGCTCACACGGATTCCAAGAAGGAGGCCAGGAAAACAAGCTGCATACTTGCAGAAAGCATCAGAGAACTTCAGAGTCCTGAAGCAAATGAGCCTGCTTAGAATTTGTATTAGAATTTATATTAGAATTCGTACTTGAACTTTAGTGCCCTTGGCCACTGCCAAATTTCATGTTACTCAACACACATAAAAAAAGAGGAATCACTGGTCTTGGTACCAGTTCAGAGTACCTGATGCTTGTGTGAGCAGCATGAAAGGCAGGTTTCAGCTGGAATTTCCAAACACCTGAAATTCAAGGTTACCTGGCCTGTTCTGAGGCCGGCAAAGGCCTTGTAGAGGAGGCAGAGACACCACTGGACCAGGGTGAGGTTTTAAAAGTGCAGCTTTGTTCAGTGCAGCCTTTTACCCTGATGGTTCTAGAACATGTGTCTACCTTCAGACTCTAAAATGGCAGAGCTAAGAACTTCAGGTGAACAGATTGCACCAAGATGGTCATCGTGCAATGGTGGTAAAGAACTTGGGGGTTGAGGGAGGAGACTGGTAATTTCTAGTGACGTTTGTGCTTCTCTTCGTCTTCAGAGGAAGACTAGTACCAGTTAGAAAAAAAAAAACATATATATATATATAAGCAGAAAGAACTCCAAGGGCGAAGTGGAAATTTAATTACTTGATGCGGTTCTGATTCTATCTTCATCTGGCACCTCATCACCCTGATCAAGCCTTCTAGTAGAAGCAGTACTGACTGACTTCTGTTAGCAAGTGCTTATGTTGGTGGCTTCATCACATCTCAAGGCTTTGGTTAAACAGATCTGTCATTTTTGTGCAAAGATGTTGCCATTAGACACATGGCGGCCTTTTAATGTCATGGATGAGCACGTAGTTTTTAAAGTTGGGATTCACTCTTCATTTCCCACCTCTTCTAACCCTGAAGCATGTTGTGGTTGGGGGGAGCTACTGGGAAGCTCAGTGTAGGACCGGCCTGGACTCAAAGCCAATGCATTTAGACGGAACTATGGTTCACAGGGAAACTGCAGCTGCTCACTTACACACAGAAATGGCTTCTATTCACCTAGTGTAGCACAACATCGGATACCAGCTAAGCCTTGGGGTTCAGTCATGCCCAACCTGCTGTTTAAGAGGACCGAGACATCACATTCCAAAAAAAATAAAAAAACAACCCTGAAAATACCATCTTTAGAAAAAGGTAAACCACACATTTCCTGCTAAGCATTTCTGCATTAAGGTATCCTCATCACTTAAAGCAAGGAGGAAAGAAAACAATCATCCAGGGTTTGGGATTTTTAGGGCCACAGGAGAAAGGAAAAATCAGGAGCGTGGATTTGATGGAATCACTTTTTAGAAGAAGCTAAAGTCCCTTTGTCCTCCATACCCTAGGAATGATGCTTTCTAAGAGATCCCACAAAAGTTTCAAGACACAAAATCCCTTATCTAAATCTACTGGGAAAGCAGTGGCCTAGAACTCTCTCCCATTTACCGAGCTTGCTTTAGACTGGAGATTAACACTGTTATCCTTCTAAAGTGCAGAACATAAACAAGTATGGTCAAATCTACCAGAATAAGGAGGACCATTCTTCATTTACTCCACTCTTCCCCAAATAGAACAGAATTAATCATTTCAAGGTGCCCTGGCTGCTCCAGTTCACATGGAGCCCTCCTGAGCGCTAAGCCTCTGCACAGGGACAGCAGGTTCGATTCTAAAGCAATCTTAAGTCAGAGAACTCTGCCCACAACAGCAGGTCAGCTCACAGGTCATTCACTTCTATTGAAAATCCTGAATTCATTTGCTGCCCAAAAAAAGCCCAGAGAAGGAAATCACCACTTTTTGAAGAAAGAACAAAAACAAACAAAAAATAATCAGCCAAGGTACTCCAGAAAAACAGCTTGTCATACTTGGAATGTGACCAAAATGGGTTTCCAATTAAAACATGGGAAGACCCTCACACGTCAGTTCCTACAAGGCCTTTAGACTCAGCACAACCCTTAGTCTTAGGAAAAGCAAAACTAAAGTGATGAGCTGCTGAGGGAGAGAGAAAAAAAAAGTGTCATTCAATAATAATTCCTTAAAGGGGAAAAGAAATTGAACATTCACGTTTCCTATTTACATCAGCCCCCCTCCCCCACCCCACCGCCACCACCACAATTCTGCTTTAACATTATGTTCCACATTTTATTTTGTTTTCAAGTTACATTTCAAGAAAAGGTCATTTTTTTTTTTTTCCTCAACAATATCTCACGGTTGCTCGTGAGAGCACAGCATCTAAACCATAAACCACTGTCAACCAGATCTCAATTCTCCAGCTACCGGCTTTGGTTTATTCGTGAAAGAAATCCTTAGCTCTGCCCACATAAGCAATTCAGTCCCTTCAACAAAAATGAAGTCACGAGACCACTCTCATGTCCACCATTTTCTGCCTGGCTAGAACTGGCACAAGAAAATAAGACGACAGCCACAACTTTCATAGAACAGCTGAGAATCCCAAGTGAGGGCCAACAGAGCCTACTCTAGGCTGGAGTGATAAGAAACACTGCCCAAGCATTCTCTGAGGTTCCATTGGCGCACAGAGCTCCAATCTCCCCATGCGGACGCTTGGGACATGGCAGGTTAGTGTCTTTCCTGGAAAGATGTGGATGGGTCCTACTTCCTATAGTGTTTTCCAAAGTGGCACTGGAATGTTGGGTCCCTTCAGGGTTGGCTCATGATATGCTGGAGACCCATTCCAATGGGTGCACAAAGAAAAAAAAAAAAAAAAAGCAGAGTCAGAGCTGAGTTCCCCTTTAAAAGCCAAACACCTACATCTAGAAGGAGGCTCCCCTACCTGAGAGCCCTTGCCCTAGTGAGGGGTTCCCACTGTGGAAACCCTCAGGTCTCAAGGTTAGTTACAGGGCAGCCAGGTAGGGTATGGCTGGCTGTAGGTAACTGGAGGATGGGCAACGTAGTAGTTGTTGAAGTTGCCGTCGCTGACGTAGGGAGCCGGCTGGTAGTAACAGGTGACGTTGGTGGCGTTGGGGATGATGTTCTGCTCTGCCAGCACGCGCAAGGCCAGCAGGGAGATGAGGTTCAGGGTCTGCCTCCGCTCGTGGCCCATGAGGCACACGGTGCTCTCGTTCACCACCCTGCGGAGGATCATGAGGTAGTCATACTTGCTCCTCTCCTCCTCGGCAAAGTGGTTTTGAAGGTAGGTCTCCAGCTTCCGCTGCTGCTCGAGGATGTCTGGGAAGTCGATGAAAAACCTGGAGCACATGTAACGCTCTAGGGTCTTGATCTCTTCCTGGTCTGTGGGCCGGAAGTCCCGCACGAGGAGGTTGCTGTACTTGAGCAGCCCCCCGCCCCGGATCTCTTCGGGGTTCTTGGTGGCGATCAGTCTGTTCTGCAGGTGGTCGAAGGCCTCCTCGAAGTCCCCATACACGCTCTCCCCGATCACCGTGGGGTGGACGTGCTCGGAGATGGGGCTGCTGGAGCAGTCGTAGAAAAAGAGCAAGGAATCCAGGATGATCTGAAAGGAGTCCACGCTAAACTCGAACTGGCGCCGGATGGAGTCGACGAACTTCAGCTCCACGTTCCTCCCGTTCTTGTTGGACAGCGAGATCAGGCTCCAGCGGTCCGTGTCCGTGCACACCTTCACCAGTTTCTGCACATACGCCTCCTTCAGGGTGACGGGGCTGATTTTGAGCTTGTTCACACCCTCAGGCAGGAAGTTCAGAAGGGAGCACAGCACCACATCTCTGACCAGCTGGAACTCCGCCTCCGTGGGAAGAGCCACGTGGAAGATGAGGTCCAGGTCTTTGCACCCCAGGCCGTTGTCTTTGACCAAGACGTGGCCAGCCGCAGAGCCGTTCAGCCGCACGTCCTGCACCTTGATGCCGGCCTCCTCCAGCCGGCCGCGCACGGTCTGCACGATGTCCTTCAGGGTTAGCTCCAAGGTTGGAAAGTTGCCTCGTCCATGGATGGGTACGACCTCGGTCAGGACCTCGTGCAGCCGGCTGACCTGATCCCAGTTGAGTACGCTGAAGGACTCGCAGTCCCTGGTGGTGCTGCCCTCCTCTGCCATCTTGGGGGGGGGGTGTTCTTGTGGGGAAACTGAAAGTGAGGGGGTGAGAAACAGAATTAGGATTCACTTGTACACGGCCACGCAGCTCGAGGCTCGGAGCAGAAGCCGACTGACCTCTGAAGGCTTTCCTGCATGGCCAGCCGACCGCGGTAACGGGTGGGTGCTGGGTGCTGCCACGAGGGCTACAGCATGTGAGTCGGGCCTGCACCCAGGGAGGACAGCCTATACACACAAACCTGCCCCTGCTGCCTCCTAATTTTACCTGGGGCTGGTTTCTTTGCTTGTTTTGTCTGCAAGAGGGTGATTTTGTGAAGGGAGGCAGACAAACTCATCAAACAAAGCAACCTAAACAATCTCAATAGAGGGCCGTACTATGGGTTTAGCTAATTGTCCTCATTTTTTATAGAATTACTTCTGCTGCCTTTGCACACCTACCTGCATCTTAAGCTGGCTGATACCTAAGATACAAGCCCCCCCCCGCCACCCCCCCTCCCCGCACACACACCCTGAACACAAGACCCCCTGGGGGAAAAATTTCCCTCACTCCATGAAGAGATGAAGATTCAACTCTGGGCCGCCATCACACAGAGGGCAGGAGGTCAGAGGAGTCCTTCTAGAACCAGGTATGTGGCTACCTTGTTGGCAAGAATCCCACATCCTTTTCATTCATTGGACTGGTCTGCCCTGTCCCAATCACCTCTGTCCTCCAGAGTGGGACACCAAGGAGTGGTCTGAATGACAAGATTCCTGGCAGGCAAAGGCCTGGCTCAGCGCTATGGTGGAACGGCTCTGCCAGCAAGAGGGAGCCCTTAGCAGGACATTTCCCACGTCCTCAGAGCAGTGGGATCTTTTGACTGTATTTTGTAATCTAGAACCTTGAGGCTACCTAAGGAGAATAAACTTAGCGCTCAGAACTCAGAGGAAAAAACATGCCATCTCACGCTTCACTTGCTAGAACCATAGTTACCAAAGTAATTTTCAACCAAGTGACATGTTTCAGAAAATAAAATACAACAGATCCCTGGAAATCCTAATATGTAAAAACAAATACTGCTCTATTAGAAAGTCAAGGTGCTTGGGGATCCAGGTGGGTCAAACATTAGCTAGAAAGACGTAAGAGCAGAAACAAAATGTCAAGGTGCTATCCTCACAATTCAGTGTAAGCACAGAGTCTTCCCATGCCCTCCACCCTACTGACTTGTGAGGCACACACAAAACCCATCCCCACAACCTTAACAGTCTCATTGTTTGGGGACTGCTGATTTTCAACGCACATCTGCCATCACTGCCCTGAGGTTCCAACTTGAGCTTTAGGCCTTGCCCTGGTGCCAGGGATCCTTGCCTCACATAATGGCTCAGAGCAATGGGATGGCTGTCACTCGGGGTTGGGGGCACCCCAGGACACATCAAGGCAAGCTTTCCAGGACCTGGCCATTAGGAAGGTGGATGAGAACACAACACAGCAATAGTAGGCAGTGTGTGGTAGAAAAAATAGAATTTAAAGGTAGAAGAAGGGAGTGCCCCAAGACTGTTTGGAGTGAACAAGAAGGCCACAGAAGACTTCACTTACGGGGAAGGATGTAAGCGGACAGAAAGGCAATGAGCTCTGGGCTGCGACTTAGAGAAGGCAACATGCAGCCAAGACCCAGCAAGTTGTCCAGTTGGCCATCACACACCTCTCAAGTTAAAGCACAGGCTCCCTTTACTAGGTAGACTAAGTGGTTGAATTGCTTGGCCGCCAACAGGAAGGGTGGTCGTGCGGTCCAAGTGGCTCTAGGAAGACCAATCTGGGGATAAGCTCTCCTATGCCTGCTACGGAAGAACACTTGCCACAGGGCAGGTAAGTTTCCCTTCAAACCTGTGTGGACAGTGTTAAAACGCTCTAGGCTCTCTAGATCATTCTACCAAAGCACTCCTAGATTAAGGATAACAAGCAAAATTTGTGATGAAATATTTAATGTTTATTGTGGCTAGCATTTGGCTTCAAGTCAGGCTTGGGAGATCTTTTTACTGTGTTCTATGTACATTTGGTTCTTTGTGGCCCTTTTACGATCAGCATACGGTACACTGTGCCTATTACCCAGGACACTGCACAATTAAATCCAAATCACTGTAAAAAGCATGGCTCTTGCTTTGTTGTGAGAAACTGCTAAACTATCTGTCACTTGGTGACACAGATTTCCATCAGAGATGTTGATCTACCTATAAAAACACAACTTTCTCTACCTGTGTGTCACCTGCTACTGTGTTTCCAAGTCTCATGTTTATGATACAGGTATAAGAAGTTACAATGACAGAGGAGTAGCATTGAATTAATTCTTGGAAGATAAAGAACAATTAATTTTAAGAGTATCTCTAAGAACCACCTCAATAATGTTGCAGAGAAAAATAGCTATAGGAATGACTTTTGACTCGTGCATTGTTGTTTTGTTTTGTTTTTAAAGGATTTGTGGAGGGGGGAGTTTCTAAAATTAAAGTCAGGACTACCCCCACCTTTAGAACAGTAGTTCTTAGAGGACGAATATCTAACACCAGTGAGAATCTGATGGAAGCTACATTCCCTCTCCAGGAAGGGAGCTGGGAGAGAAGGGGATGACATATGCACAAGAACTTCCATATATTTTTAAATCTCTCAACTTGTAGTAGCTTCAAAGTTAAGATCTGTTTTAGATTGAAAACGGGTAAGTTTCATATGGGACGAGAGGCAGGAATGGCCAGAAAAGTTATGAGAAAAAAAAGAATGACGTACATATTAGCCCCATAAGAGATACTATGAAGCCACAATAATTGAAACAGCATGGTATTGGTACAAAGAGACTGATTAGTGGAACAGAATTTTTTAAATCTAGAAATAAAATCTAATACATAAGGGGATTTCATATATAATAAAGGAGGCACTTCAAAATAGTACAGAGAGGAAAAGTTTAGATATGTGGATAGTTATCTACATTTAAACAGTAAAGAAGGTGGTGCCTTGTCTTGTGCCAAACTAAGATCTAGATGGATGGATTAAAGATTTAAGCAAAAGAAGACAAAGCCCTCAGAGTCCGGGGGAAACCTAGAGTTTATTACACATGTGTAGTGTAGGCAGTCCTTCCCATATCACATAAAACCTAAAAGTAGAAAACTTGATACATAAAAATATCAACATGGTAAAAACACCACAAAAAAGTCACAAGACAACACTAGGAAAATATTTGCAACATGAGGCAAAGTACTTCTTTTATTAATGAAGAATGAGCTCCCAGAGAGCAGAAAGACTAGCATTCCAAGAGAAGAAGGGGCGAAAATACATGAACAGCAGCTCAGATGCAAAACATACTCAGCCTTACCTTAAGGGATGGGCATATTCAAATTTTACCTGTCGGGTAAAAGGTTGGCAGAGATCAAGAGGCAGAAAGCCGCTGGCACACTACCCATGGGTTCTTTCTGAAGAACAGTGTGGGACTCTCAATTTTAAGTGGATTGTACCCTTTATATATCAATTCTACTTCTAGGAAACCTTACTTTTCGATTTTATCCTGTGGGTATACTTGCAAGTATGCATGAGGATATTCACTGGAGAGCTACTCGTGAAGCCACAGAATCATCAGTAGAAGGTGAGAGGACTTAATACATGTACACAACAGGCTACAATTGCATGCAGTTGTCCAAAAGAACGCTGGCATATCTGTACGAATGTGAGATGCTAGTCGAGATTTATTTATTCATAGAAAACCAACACTGTATGGGTAAAAGCACAAGCCCATGCTTGAGCAATTATACAGCTCTCTGGAAGGCAGCACGAGGACTTCAGCCTCTACCAAATACCGCCTCTAGATTGGCAGGTGGGAAATTTATTTTATCCTTTTTGGAATTTAGAACCTATACATATATTAATTGAAAACAGTTCAAATCTTATGAGCCATTTCCAAAAATCTTCTCCCCACCCACCAGGAGCCTTCTGACTCATCTGCTACCTTATTTAATTCTTTCAATGCCTTTCCTAGCACTCCCCACTATCCCTGCATCCCCAAATCAAATACACATAGAAGTTTCCTCTCCGAGCCTTAAAAGTTGATCTCTGGGGGGTAGGCAGGGAGTAGGGGCCATTTGATCCCAAGAACGTCTTTTAGTCAAGTTTCTACTTCTCTACTGTTTAATAGAAGATGTCCACCATTTGTCAAAAATCCTCCAGACTTTCAAAATAACAGATACATCATCTCATCTAGTCCCTTTCTATGTTTGCTATCCAAAAGTAATTTTTGGTAGTTTTGTAACAATTGCTATTTCTCATGTCAGACATATTACAATGACCCTCATGATGCCGTTATGTTGATTCTTGGTTACAGTCACAAGAACCGTCATAAATGCAGTCAACACTTTACCAGCCACCTAAGATATCTGTGTTTGGCATCATCCGTGCCAACTTCTTCTGACATACATATGAACAATGCGACTCACTTAGAAAAAAGTAGTTCATATAAAAGCATGTTGTGGAATGTGACAAGTGACAAATCCATGGTGTAGTTCTTAATTCTTCCAGTCTACTATGACTTAGACACAGAAGAGCTCAAGCTGTTGAAGGCTCACATTTAGGCTGGGTTCATATTCGGTGCTTAGTTCATTAAAAGAGCCCAAAATAAGTTACTGATGACTATTACAAAGGAATTCTTTGTTTTCTTTCACCCATCCAAACAATTTCAAATACCAAAAGTATATTTTTTTTAGTTACTCCAACAGACACTGGCATTACTAGAATATATCCCAGTCATAGGGCCTGAGGGCTTAGATAACACACCAGAGCTTAGTGTAAGAGTTTGAGTTTTAATTAACCTCTTGAAATCAACATTGGTATAGTCTGCACATGAAAGAATCATGTGGAACACACGCTCGCATGAAAGGCCCAGGTTAAAGACAAACTCTAGGTAGCAGAATTAACAAAATGATGACTAGAAAACAAAACTGATTTGAAGCCTGGTAAATTCAAACTGAAGTGTCTGATTTTCCTTTTACTATCTGAGAAGCAGATTCCTTGTATTTTGCACAG